TTCCAATAGTATGGGTTTCTATCTCCATGAAGTAGGAGGGTTCCTTGCTTTCTTTTCATGCTGCATTTCTAGTTTGATGCATTTATGATTAGAGAAGATAGTTGGAATGATTTTGATCTTAATGTATCTATTGAGGTTTGTCTTGTGACCCAATATGTGATTAATCCTGGAGTATGGTCCATGTGCACTTAAGAATAATGTGTACTCAGGTTTTTTTAGGGTGCAATGTCCTATACATGTCTGTTAGGCCCACAAGGCCTAGGTCCTTATTTAGAGCGTTTGTGTCCTTGTTTATTTTTGTCTTGTTGATCTGTCCATTGGTGAGAGTGGGTGTTGAAGTCTACTAGATATGCTTGTATATATGTATTTTCTCTAATGTCTGTTTTCAGAGCTGATAATAGTCTGATATATTTTGGTGCTCCTTCATTTGGGGAATATATGTTATTGATGAGTGTTATGTCTTCCTGATATGTTGTCCCCTTAATCATAATATAGTAACCATCTATGTCTCTTTTTATATTTTTTATTTTGAAATCTGTTTTGTCTAGATATACTGTTCCTGCCTTCTTTTTTGGTCCATTTATTTGTAGGATTATTTTCCAGCCATTTACATTCACTCTGTGCTTATCTTTTGTAGTTAAATGTATTCCCTGTAGACAGCACAAGGTTGGCTTCTGTTTTTTAATCCCACTTGTTATTCTCTGTCTTTTTATTAGTGAGTTTAGTCCATTTACATTTAAAGTTAGTATTGTTACATTGGTATCCATATTCTCCAATTTGTTTGCCTTTTTATGATTCTATTCCTTACTTTATTCTGTTCTTCCTAGTCATTCATCTGTTGGTTTTGGCTTTAGGGCTTCTTACAGTATTTTTTTGGAGTAGTGGGGTTAGTAGTAATGAATTTCTAGAGACTTCTATTTGTCTGAAAAGGTCCTTATTTATTTCTCCATAGAGAAAGGAGAGCTTTGTGGGGGTAAAGTATTCTTGCTTGACATTTGTTGACTTGTAGTTTTTTAAATATTCACTCCATTGTATTCTTTCCTGTAGTATCTGTTTGGAGAAGCCTGACCTATTTTCCTTTAAAGGTTCCCAGTTCTTTGCCCTCATCATTTTCATTATTTTTTTTTTCCTTGTCTTGGCCTTTTGGAAACTTTACTATTACGTGTTTTGCTGTAGCTTTCCTTTCATTATGGTAATTTGGTGTTCTTCTGGCTTCCTGGGTATCCATGTCATTTCCGTCTTCATGTTTGGGAATTTCTCTTCAATTATATACTTGAATAATTTCTTGGTTCCTTGGTCTCTTTCCTCACTTTCTGGGATTCCTATGTCTTATGTTTCCTTTCTTCATTGTATCAGTTTTGAAGTTTCTTCATGCTTTTTCCTTTGTACTTCTCTTTCCTTTTCTTTTTAGTTCTTTTTTGTCTATCTTCAAGGGTAGATTTGTTCTTCCATTTCTTCTATTTTGTGGCTTTTCCCAGAATTCTTGAGCTTCTTCAATAGTCTTTGGATATCCTCCACTTCATTTTCTTCTTTAGGGATTCTTTCTCAATCGTCAGTTCCTTGTATATATTTTTTTTCCCTTTCTATGTTTTTTCTTAATTCTTTTCATTGTGGCAATTTTGAATTCTTTTTATGCCAAGCAGAAATATTCTATGTTCATATTATTGGGTTCTGGAATAATCTTCCAGATAAATATTCTTCTGTGGTTATATTATTGGCTTGGGTTTTTTCCTGTGATATATTGTTCCCAGAAGGACCTTTTGATCATATGTCATTTTCTTTCTTATGTTTGCCTGTTTATAGTGCCCCATGGCCACTGGTGCTGGTAGGCATGACTTCTGATTTCTTTTATCAAGGAATAGGTGTGTATGCCTGGTGTCTGAGCTGTTGTCACCGGTGAGAAGAGATGTAGATGGGGGTTCTTGTATTTCCCCCCTCTGCTGTCTTCAGCTGTACCCCTGCTCTAGACATGTGCTGCTTCCTGACACTTCTCTCAGGGCATTGGGTTATGCCTATGGTTTCCACTTGGGTGCACATCCAGACACTCTTCTATTGTGGTAGGTGCTGTTTTGAGCTGTGATTTGCTTCAGGAGCCCTGGCTATTTTTGGGCTCCACTATATAGGATGGGATCTAACATCTCACACCTATGGTAGTCAAGATTCTCCTGTGGAGTGCTGCACTTCCAGACTTACAGGGAGGCCAAAGTCAACTGGAAGGGGCTTGCAGGTCAGGTGGGATGTACTTCTCTACTGAGCAGCTGCGTCCCTCTGGGCATGTCTTGAAAAAATGCAGGGATTGAAAGAGACTAAGGAGTGAAAGAAGCAAGAAGTAAAAAGAAGAGGATAAGATGGAAACGTAAAAGGAATGATGGTAGAAGAAGAAAGGGGCAAGATCTGGGAAAGAAGAAAGGGGGATTAACAGAAGAGAAATGGAGTTAAAGGTAAAAGCTAGAGGAAACAGAAAACAGAGGTAGTAAAGAAGGAAAGGCACAGCAGACAACCAAATGACCAGTAAACAGACACACATACATCTGGGAGAGAATTTCTTCTCAGACCTCTGATGGCTTCCGGTGAGCTAGTTGCCGTTTTATATGGTCTGCTGGGGAGCACCATGGGGCTGAGTAGGATATTCTTCCCAGAGTCCATTGTTTCGTTGTGGTGTATTGAGGGAGTATAAAAAACACACACTGAGAGGAGAGGCATAAACTAGAGTGTCCAGCAGTCTCTGATACTCCACTACAGATGTGGGCACGGGAGGATCAGTACTCTTTCTGGTTCCAAAGTTGTTGGGTAAGTGTGGGGCCTCAGGACTTCCACCTGAGGACTTTGGGTAGTTAGAGGCCGCCAGTTTAGGGACCAGCTTTACAAGGGTGTACCCACTGTCCCTCCCACTAGTAGGTGTGACCAGTTAAATCTTATGTTCTTCCTGGAATAACCTTAGCTATAAGCCTCCTGGTTTGCGGTGTAGGTGATAGGTGATATTTTTCCTGAACACTAGGTGGCGCCAGAGAAGTTTCCTGGTAAACTTTAATAACTGTGCTTCCCCCTATCCCACCCACAGGTCCCCAGGATAAGGGGGTCAGGGCAGCACCAAAACAAAGGGGCTAGCACCTAGCTTGTGCTGGTGCCATCTGCCCACCTGTCACCTTCTGGTGTACTCAGATGTCCCAGGGTTCTCCCATAGTCTCCAAATATTTACTTTTCTTTTCTTGGACAAAGTGGGCCGGCTTTGTGTGTTGGGGCTGGGACAAGGATTCCAGATCAGTGAATCTCTCCTCCCTTCCTGTCTCTGTCACTTTCCCTCTGTTGGTTCACCAACTTTGTCCATCACATCTGGGTTTTCTACCTATCATTTGTTTTTAATAGAAGAACTTAATCCTAGCATCCCTTTGCTGCCATGTTGGTGACATCATCCCTATTGGTTGAAAAGTCTATTTGATTTAATCTCAACTCAGGCAGTGTCAGAATTTTGATTATCAGAAGTATAGAGGGAAAGGAAAATAAGATAATGTAACTTCTGATCCTTCCTGATCTTATCACTTGTTTAACTTTATAACCTTGGGGAAAATACTTTCTCTGTCTCTTTAATCTATAAAATGAAGAGATTGTCCTAGGAAATCTTGGCAGTCCCTTACATCTCTTTTCCTACATTATGGCCCCTAGTAGCCAACTCAGCACTTATGAAGCTATCTGCAGAATAAGTTCAATCCCTGGCCAGGGAGATAACTCCATGACTCAGCAGACCTCTCCTGTCTTACCCATTACTCCCCTCAGCAGTGTATTTTAGTATATCTGCCTATTCTGCTCCCCTCCTTAACTGGTGAGTCCTCTCATTCCCATCACCTCTGGCCTACACCAGTTCTTCTACACAAAAATAAATAAATAAATACAAAAAAAAAAAAAAACAAGGAAGGATGGATGGATTGGAATCTCATGGAAAAAAGAGAGAGTGGTAGTTTGAAATTGTTTCCCAGAGAAAGACTTACTCTCAGGCAGATAGCCCCAAATAAGTTCACTACACTTAGAATGGATGGACCCTTTACCAGTTAAATACTCTAACTGTAAAAAATATCACAATTTGTGAAAGAGTCAGTAATTGTTGCTAAGTCACTGATTTTTGTTTGCTTTGGAGGTTCTTCATATGGAGAAAGGTTAACATTTCACTTTAGACTTTAGTTTTATTCTCTAGTTATCTAAAATACTGGTTTTAAAGGATATTGATTTATTAAGTCTTGGGATATTTCTCTTATGAGTCTCAAGGTCTATCCTGTCACTTATTTAGTTTCAAAAACCAAAATCTCAGATTCTGATGCACCCTTATACCAGTGGACATTTAGTCTTTACATGTTTTATCAGAATACTTGGGAAAATAAGCCTTTCTTGAACTGACTTCCTGTTTCTCTCTGCATACAGAGCCCTTTCCTATTCTTTGAACAAACTAAGACTTCTACCCCAAGGCCCATTCTTTCTGCTTAGAATCCTCTTCTTCCTAGGTATCTATGTGACGCACTAACTCTCCTCTTTGAATTTTGGTTTTCTCAAATGTCTCTGAAATTACAATACCCTGATACTCCTTTCATGCTTTATTTTTCTTAGTAACTGTCACTAATATACATACTATTTATTTTGTTAACTTGTTTGTTGCTCCCCATCTATTTCTGTGAGGGCAGGGACTTATGCCTAGAACAGTATTTGGGACCTAGTAGGTTATTCATTGTTTTTGAAAGAATGAATGTAGAAATTGGTCAATAGAAGCCTATGTTAAAATTTATTAATAGTAGGAAGACGTTCCCATTTTGTTGTTTATCCAGACAGGAGTTGTATGACTTTTGTTTCTTAAATATATTTTTGGACTACAAAAACAAAATCTTGTAGCATGCTTTAATGTTTAGATACATTCATTTTAAAATTAAAAAATGTTTTCCAGAGTTGTTTGTAAAAGAAATTTTATACTTAAACTAAATTTGTACATTCAGCTTTCTTTTAATTCTTAAATATAGCCATCAGATATTGTGAAAGATGTCAATTGATTAAACCTGACCGTGCACATCACTGCTCAGCATGTGACATGTAAGTGTTACTCATTTGTTTTCGTTGAAATCCAGCACTGGAGATTGGTAACTGGAGAGTAATAAGGGAAAGAACATTTTATGTGCTTTATACGCAACAAAAATATGTCATCTTCTCTCGTTAACTTGCTATGTGTGCAGGGAAAACAAAAATATGTATATAAGGTAGATTATACTATGAAGTCATTTGGTAATAATTGCTGATCCAGTTGATAGAATTTTCTTTAAGTATACTTTCATGCCTATGCTTAATACAATATTGATTTAAAAAGTAAGTAGCAACTTTCTTGGAAAAGATAATTTTATTTCCATGGTTAAACAGGCCATAATGACATTTATCTTGTTTCTTTACTAATGTTGATATCCAAACCTAAGAAGCCACAAAAATAGTGTTTTCAATTTCCATTTATGATATTGTCCCAGAAAAATTTGAAATATTTAATTCCTTGTGTACTTTTGAAAAGGTAATGTGTTGAAGGAAAGATCCCTAGTTTGGGAATTTCAACTAGTCCTGAACCTTAGTTAGATAAGCAATTGAACCTGCTGGGTACTAGTTTACTCATTTGTTATATTACTTGAAATGATCTGTGGTCTAACTTCTTACAGTATAGATTACATATTCACTTGTAGGGAGGCATATTTTGGTGTTTTTTTTTTCTGATTATAAAAGTACAGTAGTGATTATCCATGGGGTAATCTAAAATTTTATAGAACATGTGAAATTTTCTAAAATATGTGGAAGATAACTATTACTGTTAATATTTTAACATATTTGCTGTTGCTAAGGTTTTATTTTATGACTTGACCATGTTTAAAATAATAGAGGAATTATCATTTTATGATTTCATTTTATCACTTAGCTGACTTGTAAACTAGACATGTCTACTATACAAGTATATTAGTATAAGCATATGCAGCATATCTGAATATTAAAATTTATCTTAATGTAACCTAACGCAATTGGCTGTGTTCAAGTGAATTCTCAGTGTAAAATCATTACCCCTTTCTTATGAAAATACTTGTGAGAATATCAGAAATTTTCTGTAATGTTTACTGGACTGTTTTTTCTAAGATGAATTTATAAAGTGAAAATTTTAACTCTAAAAAAGAAAACTATCAGAATTAGGGGAATTTTTCACATGGTTTTTCTTATACCTTGTTTCTTAGATGTATTCTTAAGATGGATCATCACTGTCCTTGGTATGTATAAAAAAATAAAGGAAATCATAATACGGGGTGGAGAGAAAGAGAGAATGTACAGTAATTTACCTTAGTCTTCTAAATTTGGAAGTTCAATTTAATTACTCATCAATAACAAGATTAATCTAGCTTTAAATGTATGTATATGCAATATACATGGATTCATAAATGTGCAGGTACATGTTTATACTAATATTTTACTTTAACATTAAACATGTTATTAATCAACAAATTATATATTTAGAATTAACATTAAAATTCCAGATACTGGGCCTCTCTGGTGGTCTAAAGATTAAGTATCAGCACTATCACTACTATAGCCTGAGTTTGATCCCCAGCCAAGGAACTAATCCACACATATATATATATGGTGCAGCAGACCTCTCCTGTCTCTCCCACTGCTCCCTTCAGCAGTGTATTGCATCTAGTCTATCTGTTCTGCTCCCCACTCTGTTTCTGGTGAATCCTCTCACCTCCCTCACCTCTGGCCTACACCCCCAGTTCTTCTATGCAAAAATAAATAAATCTTTAAAATAATTTCCAGATTTGTTAGAGAATTGCTTGAAAACACATATTCACAATTAAGACACTGCTCTCTACTTTGCAAATTACCATTTTCCAAGTAGTCATGATTTTTTGATCTGTTATTATTTTTATGGTTTAAAAATACACAAGATCGGGGCCCTCCCTGGTGGCACAGCGGGTTAAAGCACTGCACTAAAGAAGCTTGAGCCACTTCCACATGGGTTTGATTCCCGCCTGCCCCGGAGGAGATCCACTTGGCGAGGCAGACCTCTCCTGACCCGCCCGCTGCTCCCCTCAGCAGTGTACTTCATCGATCTGCCTGTTCTGCTCCCCACTCTGTCCCTGGTGAATCCTCTCACCCTCCGCATCTCTGGCCTGTACCCCAGTTCTGTATGAATAAATAAATCTTTAAAAAAAAAATACACAAGATCTACCATCTTCACCATTTCTGTAGTGTTATATTCACATTGTTGTACAATCAGTCTTAAGAACTTTTTCATCTTACAAAACTGAAATGCTAAAATGCTATGCCCATTAAACAATAACTAGCCATTTCACCTCCCTTCCAATTCCTAGCAAATACTGTTCAATTTTTTGTTTCTGTGAGTTTGTGACTTATTTTCACAATATGACTTTCTTTATTCTTCTAGGGTGAATAACTGTGTAGGATTTTCTAATTACAAATTCTTCCTGCTGTTTTTATTATATTCCCTATTATATTGCCTTTTTGTGGCTGCAACAGTTTTACAGTACTTTATAAAATTTTGGACGGTAAGTCTTTTTTCGATCTTAAAACATATATTAAGATTTTTTTAAGATGCTGTATTTATAAAGAGTTACTTCATTCTTTATCACACATACATAAGCTTCAGATTTACTCTTCAGAATATGTGGATCATCAGAGGGTAGGTGGAATCATATGTACATATTTATTTGTAAATAAAAAAATTGAACATGGTATATGAGCTTTTTTTTTTTTAATGTTTCAAGCTATTTCTAACCATACTTTAATAATAAATCAGTTTTAGGGAGCTAACTGCTTCTATTTGAGCTGATGAGACTCAATGTAGTTTTATAATATTAAAAGTGAAATTTACTCCCCAGATGACTACTCATCTGTTTTCTCTCTATATAAATAATCCTTTTTCTGGCATGAGTTGTAAATTTTTTTTTACACATTTATATCTTAAAAATCTGTGTTCTTTTTTATCAAATTAGAGCTTCAGTCTACTCACTACAGATTTTTATAGGGTTTTCTTTTGGTATTATTGCTGCTTTTGTTTTCACCTTTAAATCTGTGGTTTTAAAGGAATAGATTGTTGTGTTTTGAAGTATTTTTGTAGTTAGTGTTCCTGTATAGGTGTTTTAAAATGTTATTATTATTCAAGTGTGGTGGCCCAAAAAAAGGTAAGCAGAAAATTGCTGTAGAAAAAATATTTCATTAGTCTCAGTTTTCAAGACGGGTTGTCCTACAATGAATCATCAGACTAGGTTATCCTAGTCTGAATAATTTCAGTGTTTGCTTAGCACAGGGACAGGTCTCAAAGATATATTTTTGTTAAAACATGATTCAGTTTTTAGGGCCCTCCCTGGTGGCTCAGTGGGTTAAAGCACAGCACTAAGAAGTTAAAGCCACTTCAGCATGAGTTCTATCCCCGCCTGCCCAGAGGTGACCCACATGGCACAGCAGACCTCTCCTGACCTGCCAGCTGCTCCCCTCAGCAATGTACTTCGTTGATCTACCTGTTCTGCTCCCCACTCTGTTGCTGGTGAATCCTCTCACCACCCCTGAACCTTTGGCCTGTACCCCAGTTCTGTATGCATAAATAAATCTTTTTTTAAAAAAAAATCATTCAGTTTTTAAAGTTTACTTAAAGCCAGGGTGTCCTAGTACTTATTGTACTCTGTGCATGTTAGAAAAGAGATCAGTTCTGTATAATCCCAGAAATTCAGAGGTAATAAGAGATTATTCTAATGTATATCCTAACAATCTCAAAAGTCTAGATAAGAGGGACAAATTCTTAGAATTATGTCATTCAAGCCTAAATAGATAAGAAAAAGAAAAACAGAACAAACCACAAGCAAGGAAATTGAAACAGTAGTCAAAGCTTTCCCACAATGTTTCACAAGTGAAACATTCAAACATTGAAAGATTAATTTACACCTATCTTGTTTAAACTCTTCAAAAGATTGAGTAGGAAAGAATATTTCAAAATTTACATTAGGAGACTAACATCATTCCACTACTAAAGCCAAGCAAGGACAACATACAAAAAGAAAGCTACAAACCAGTCTCCCTCGTGAATACAGACTCCAAAATCCTCAATAAATTTTTAAGAAACCAATTCTAACAATGCATTACAAGTGTTAATGCATCTTGAGCCAAATGGGATTTATAACTAGGGACACCAGCATGGTTACCACATCAAAATGAAAGATAAAACCATATGCTTATTTTAGTAGATGCCAAGATGGCATATGATTAAGATGCAACATCCCTTTGTAAGGAAAATCCTGAATAATGGGATAAATGGGACGTTGGCATTATTCTCAGTGGTGACAAACTAAAAGCCTTTTTAATAAGATGTGTACAAGACAAAGATGTCCATTCTTAGCAGCTCTCCCTGCCCACTTGTACCTATGCAAGTGTCTTTCCCTTCTATCTCTTTCTAATAAACTTACTCTTTAAAGATAAAAAAAAAAAAGTCCATTCTCACCACTACTCTTCAGCATAGTATTGGAAGTTCTATCTAGAGCAATTAAGAAAGTTATAAAAGAAACCCACATTTGCAAAGAAGTAAAGCTATCATTATTTGTAGACATGGTAATATACAGAGAACCCTTAAGAGTCCACACACACACAAAAATAATAATTAAAATAATAAGCAGAAGTGGCAGGTTACAAAAGTAATACAGAAAATTGCACTAGAAAAGGAAGAAATTAAGAAAACCATCATATTTGCAGTCATATCAAAAGAAATTAAATACCTAGGAGTAAACCTAACAAAGGAGGTTAAGGGCCTATAGCCAAAGGTAGCTTTGACAAAAAAGGGAGAAATGTGATATTACACTTCTAGACTTAAAACATACTACAAAACCATCATAATTAAGTCTAGAACAAAAACAAAGACCAAGGGAATAAATTGAGAGCCCAAAAATAACCCATACATATATGGGTAACAAATCTGACAAAGAAGCAAAGAATATACATCTGACTAAAGAAAGATAAATAGTGATAGGAAAAGATAAATTGTGCCAGGCACAAAAGTGGAACTAAACCATTGTTTCACACCATACCAAAAAAAAAACTCAAAATGTATAATAGACATGGATCTAAGGCCTGAAATGACAAAATACATAAAATAAAATAGACAAAATACTCCATGACATAAATTAGAGATAAAGAAGCTATAATGTAAGCAACTGGGACTACATCAAACTAAAAGGTTTTGCACAGTAAAAGATATCTTAACTAAAATGAAGAGACACCCCACTAAATGGGAGAAGATAGAGACACACTGTATCTCAAACTAAGGACTGATCTACAAAGAACTCATACAACTCAACAAAATTAAAACAACCCAATAAAAAAAAACATGCACCTGAATAATTGCTCATCATGAACAAGCATGAAAAATGCAAATTAAAATCACAGTGAGATAGCAAAGAATCAGGTGATGAGGGAGTGGAGAAAAGAAACCCTCTTACACTCTTGATTGAAATGTAGACCGGTCTAGCCATTATAGAGGTTTCCCAAAAGAATAAAAATGGATCTGCCATATGAATCACCAGTTACACTCAAGCATCTGTCCACAGTACTGCATTCCATTTAATAGCTAAGATATGGAAACAACTTCAATGACCATCAGTAAGTGAAATGGATATAGAACATTGTGGAATGTTATTCAACCATTAGCCATTCCTAACATGAATGGACCTTGAGGGCATTAAACTAAGTGAAATAAATCAAACAGGAAGATACCACAAGAACTCAAGTTTGTGAAGTCAAAAATAAATAGAATAAAACTTACAGGTACAGAGTGGTAGTTGTCAGAGGCAGGGGATGGGGCATGGCCAAGTAAGTGAAAGTTATCAAGTCCTGGGATGTAACATACAATATGTTGATTGTGGTTAATAAGTACATGTGAAAGTCACTGAGTAAATCTTAAAAGGTCCTTCAACACAAGAAAAAAGAATGTTTAGCTATGTGTGTGTTTTGCTAGATAGTGACTAGATTTATGGTCACCATCTATCTATCATTCTATCTATAGTAATAATGGTATACGCCTGAGATTAATATTGTGTGTAAAGTGTTTGAGGTAGAACTCAGTAAGAAGGTATGGTTTGGATAGACATGAAGGGTGTGTGTATCTGAAAAAAGACATCTAAACTTCAGTACAAAGGCTCAAAAGGAGGAATATCCCTCCCTGCTTTGTTTGAGTAACAATAAGGAGGCTTTTGAGACAATAGTGGAGTATAGTGGAGGTAGACCCAAACGTTAAAAGAGCATTAAGAGTGTGTTGTGACAGAGGAGTGGCATGATCTCTTGCTGAGCTGAACTACAGTCATGAATCTCTTAATGGTGTTTCAAGTCAACGGTGGACCAGTCATCCTGAAAGGCAGTACCATTTGTACCTACTATGCCACTGTGTAGTAGACTATGCATCTAATTTTCCATCAGCTCATGACATTTGTGTAGATGAAATCCTCTAAGGAAACATTTCTCCAAATATTCCCATCATTAATACTTGATTATAGAGTAATAATTGATCTAATATTTGATTATGTGACAACATCTCCTAGAAGGTTTTGCTTAGAAAAACACTAATATTCTTTTGTCTATATTTTTAATTACAGACGTAGCTTTTAGAAATTGCTAAGCAGAAGTTTCTTTATTAAAGCTGTTTGCTTAAAAAAAAATGTAATTTTGGTCTTAAATCTCTCTGAAATGTTGGGTAGAAATGCATGTGTAAAATCTACCTGAAATGTACTTGTCGATTTTCCCTTTGGTGTTTTTTGAGAAAATGTTGTCAATGACCTTTAGAGAACAACATCTTAGGATTTCCTTCAAAACATAAAAGGATTTATAAAACTAGTGGTTTATACATATATATAGCTATATACACAAAATATACAAATATAATTTTGTATAAAAATGGTTTCTTAATACATTGTCTCTATTTGTACAAGCTTTGCCGCAGGAAATCTACAGAGATTTGTCCAAAGGTAAAATACATCATTGCCATGACATTCTCATCATTCTTTTATGACATTTATTAAGAATGTAATACTCATTGGCATTACAAGATAGAAGAACCACTTGTATTTAAAGGGTATTGTTATTATTTCAGGAGAGAAGAGAAAAAGTTAAATGTTAGAATAATCTAATGCGAAAAACCTTCCTTTTAGCTTTAAGCCAGTCAAGCTGGACAATCTCATGTTCTGTTGGAGTAGTGATTTCCCTCGTAGAGTTTATCTTAAGAGCTAACACTTAAAAAGTTTCTTCTACGTCCTAATAAAATATACTAATTTTTCCTAGGTTGACTTCTATTAAAGTGAATAATAGCTGTAAGAATTGGTAACAAAAAAAGCTCTTTTCAGTTACTAATTCCTTTTGGTAAATTTGAAAAAAATTGCTGATTATCTGTAGAAATGGACCAAGGATTAAAAAAAAAAAAGTGAATTAAAGTAGCTGAAGGCATGAGCATATTTGTATTGGTATTTCAAAAACAGACTAGAGAAGTACATAGATTTAAATTTGTCACAGTTAACAGCATATATAGTTAAACAAATATTTTAGCATAGTGGGGAAGACCTTAAATAGCCTGGATTTTGAGAACACACATACATGCATAATATGCAAAAGAAAAACTGAACGAGGTCATTTTACTACTGAAAATATTACTAAAAATTTGAAATGTTTAAGTTACTTTTGAAATGGTTTCCTGACATTTTATGTAAGCAAGCTTCTTCTGAATGAGAGTTCATCTTATTTTATTATTGAAAATATTACTAAAAATTCGAAATGTTTAAAAGTCATTTTTGACATGTTTTTCTGACCTTTTATGTTAGCAAGCTCCCTTGATATTACCAATTCTCTGCTTTTGGAGATGTTGCTTTTGGATACATAATCTATTTTCCTCTTCATATTTGCCAGTTTCTTTTGTGGATTCAGCAGTCTTTAGGAAGAACCAAATAATAAGAGTATTTCTTATAGGTTGGCGGTCCTCAAAATTAACTCCTCTTTTTTTCTTTCCTCAGAATGAACTCGCAGACAAACGTGCAAAATTCCACGTACTTTTTCTTTTCTTTGTGTCTACCATGTTCTTCATCAGCGTCCTGTCACTTTTCAGCTACCACTGCTGGCTAGTAGGAAAAAATAGAACAACAATAGGTAAGAAATCTTGAGAAGGACAGTAATCATGATACAAAGTATAATTATAAGTCTACTGAAATTAGCTATGACAGGATAGGCACCAGAGTATAATATGTAGAGGTTCATTATTTTGAAGGTTGAGCAGGTGAGGTTGACTTCCATATGTTTTTTTTATTGTTGTTTTTTAAAAGATTTATTTATTCATACAGAACTGGGGTACAGGCCAGAGATGCGGAGGGTGAGAGAACCCACCAGAGACAGAGTGGGGAGCAGAACAGGCAGATCGATGAAATACACTGCTGAGGGGAGCAGCAGGCAGGTCAAGAGAGGTCTGCCACGCCATGTGGATCACCTCCAGGACAGGTGGGAATCGAACTCATGCAGAAGTGGTTAAGTGTGCTTTACCCCGCTGCGCCACCAGGAGGGCCGACTTCCATATGTTTTTTTTTTTTTTTCCATATGTTTTTAATAGTGCATTATATTAAAGAGCTCTGACTAAATTCTATAAATCAAAAAAAAATTTGCTTGCATTTGTACAGTGTTTTTTGAAAACTCAATCTATGAAAGATAGCAAATTGACAAGTTGTAAAGAAGTTCATTCACAGACCATAAAAATATGTTTTAATCTTTAATTTTATCACTTAGTTAAGACTGGTTCCTTACGTTTCCCCCACAGTTACACAGCTGATTGGTATAAGTTCCATGATTGAGTCTAACGAGTCGTGTTTTGACATAGTTAATCATTTCTTTGTATCATTCAACAGTCAACTTAGGTATTGTATCACTAATATAAGAAATTTTGGGGGGCCTTCCCTTGTGCAACAGGTTGGAATGCAGCACTGTGAGGCTGTCTGAGGCCACTGCAGCACTAGTTCATCCTCAGCCGGGGAGGTGACCCACATGGGTGGCCCACCTGCTGGCCCCTCGGCAGTGTATTTCAGTACATCTACCTGTTCTGCTCCCCACTCTGTCTCTGGTGGATCCTCTCGCCCCCCTGTACTCCAGTTCTTGTTCGCATAAATTTTTTTAAAAAGAAATATATTTTCTCCTTTTCTCGCTCATTTTTAATTTTGTATTAGAAGTTTGGTATTTTGTTTTATTTTTGACATTTACTTAAGCAATTTTTAAATTTTTTTATTTTGTCACATTATTATATAATTTTGAGAGTACAGCTTCACACTTTTGCATGAGACATGCTTCACTCACCTTCCACCAAAACTTCAGTGCCGATATTCTGTCTCCTTTCCTCTTCCGTCTCTCCTCCCTTCCTCACAATTCCCTCTTGTAATCAATATGTATTTCATAGAGTCTAAGAATTATATTGACTATGCTTTGCCAGTTTGTTTTCTTTTGTTATTTATATTCCACAAATGAGCGAAACTGTTAACTGTCTTTCACTTTCTGACTTATGTCACTTGGCATAATTACTTCAGGACTTACCCATTTTATCCCAAAAATACTGTTAACATCTTTTTCAGTAGCTAAGTAGGTGAGGCTATATTCCACAATTTCTTTATGCAGTTAGCTGTTGTCAGACATTAGGTTGGTTCCATAACTTGGCAACTTTGAATAATGCTGTTACTAATATAAGAGTGCAGAAATCTTATCATATTGGGTAAATACCTAGCGTGGTATTGCTTGATCACATAGTATCACATAGTCATTATTTGACTGCAAGGGCTGTGTCCTTTTCTTCCTTCCCTTCAGTGCTTTGTTGTTTCATATTTTATTTCTACTGATCATTATTACTACCTTACTCAAGGTTTTGTTTTCTCTTGTTTTTTTTTTCTTTAGTGAAAGTCATACCAACATTTCTTGTAGGGCAGGCCAGATGGTGGTTAAACTCCATTAGCTTTTGTTTGTCTGGGAAAGCCTTTATTTCACTGTCATATTTGAGTTATAATTTTGCAGGAAAGAAGAGTGTTCATGGCTCAGAGATTTTATCTTTAAAAAAGACTCTAGGGGCCCTCCCTGCTGACTCAGCGGGTTAAGGCTTGGTGTTGCAAAGCTGGCTGCAGCCTGCTTCAGTGAGAGTTTGATCCCGGCCAGGGAGGTGACCCACATGGTGCAGCAGACCTCTCCTGCCTTGCCCACTACTACCCTCAGCAGTGTAATTCCCCAGTCCGCCTGTTTTGCTCCCCACTCTGTATCTGGTGGATCCTCTCACCGCCCTTGTACCTCTGGCCTATACCCCAGTTCTGTATGCATAAATAAATAAATCTTTAAAAAAAAAAACCTCTAAATGGTCATTCCACACTCTTCTAGCCTAAAAGAGTGTTTGAAGAGAGCCTGATCAAGGTGCCCTTGTATGTATGTTAATTCTTTTTTTCTCCAGCAACTTTAATATTTTTTTCATTAACTTTGGATAATTTACCAATGATTTGTCTTGGTGAAGGCCATTTTGCATTTCAAATGTGTGTTCTCTGTGCTATCTGGACATGTTGGGTCCATGCTTGTTTCATTCATTAGACCTGGGAAGTTCTCAGCTGTGATTTCGAGTGTTCTCCTTTACCTTCTTGAATATCCGTTGGTCCTTATTTCCCATTCTGTGTATGGCATCTTAGTAGACTTTATTCATTTTTTTCATGTCATTTCTCTCTCTCCTTTCAGTTGGATCAGTTATACATTGTGTCTCCCATTTCAAGTATTCTTTCTTCTGCCAGTTTATTTGATAAGCTTTCCATATTTATTCTCATTCATTTAGCATCTCTTTTGTGTTCTTTTCTTTGGGCATGTTAGTGAAGAATTCTTTTAGGTTCTAGATCCCTTTTCTAATTGCCTTTCTATGTTGTCCTTTCAGTTCCTCATTTAGCAGTTTTTAAATCAATCTTCTGAAGTCTCTGCCTGTTATAGCCTCAGTTTTAAATCTTTTATTTGTATCTCTGGACTAATACACTTTGGCAGCTTTTCTATCTTGTGTTCAGATGTTCCTGCTCCTTACACATGTGCTTTTTCCCTGGTTGGGCACTATGGGTTTAGTTTTATTTATTTATTTTTTCTTTGTTGAACTTGGCAACAGAAGGAGAAGCTGGGACCCAAAGACTCCATCTCAGTCCTGACAGGGAATAAGGGGTGCTCCAGAATAATCAAGGGTGCCTCTTTTTCTCTCTGCCACCTTATTCTTTTTCTTCAGAGCAATCTCCATTCACTGCTTTGGGGACCTTAAATTCCCGTGTCATCTCCTTGCTGCTGTTCATGGGGTGGGTGTGTCTGCAGGGAGATCAGAGAAACCCACTGCTGCATTACTTGTCCTTGGACAGTGACCACCTCCTGGCTGCTCCTGCCCAACATCTCACACCTGGTGCCCCTTCCTCATAAGGTCAGAGCCCCATTGTATCTGGTATGTGTGCCGCACCATCCATGGCAGGCCTGTTTCATAGGCTTGAATAGCTCCTGCTCTGGCCAAAACACCCCTCACCTATCCCTGCTTTGTCCCTGCAGCAAACCACTGAGCCTCAGCACAAAATTTGCTTGGAAAAAAAGTCCTATTTTGATGATTTTTGGAATGTCCTGTAAGCAAATTTAAAATATCATTTTTAGTTGTGCCTTAGAGAGAAGATTCATCCAAACCTCCCTACCCTCTCATGATGTATCTTTTTTGCTCATTTCTAAAAGTGAAAATATGGAGGAAGAATTCAGAGGTATTCATAGAATTGGATAAACCCTTACCTTAAAACGATGGTATGTCAGTGCTCAATTTGAGTTTTAGTATGTAAGCAGTAGCATTATACTATAGAAATATTTAGATATAGGCTGTTGTAGTAACAAGATACATAATAGGCATTTGTCATGATTCTTAAAGAAAATTAGATTCCCTACTATCTAAAGCCATATATGTGCCAGAAGAATTAGAAGGGGGCAGACTTTAACATAAAAACATAAAGAGACATAAGTAACTTTTAAATACTTGTATATTTGGATCATTTTTCATCTTGTGTCTTCCTGAGTTATGTCAGGTATAATGGAGTTCAAAGTAAAGATTCTGTACCCTGCTTTCCGACCTCCCCCTCCACCTTCTAGTTCTGTAGTTCCATCATGGCTTCCATTCTTTGTGTAAATATACTTTCTTCTCTTAATTTGTTATCCTCTTCACAGGATACCTTGCAGCATCCTTACCTTTATTCAGAGTTCACATAGAAAAGATTTCTTTTTTCAAAATTAACGAATCTGGTGACAGTGAACCTCTTTCCCCCTCTGGCAGATTGAGCTAGAGCTTAATAGTAACTGATTGCTATAAACACATTAATTTGCCAGCATTCCCACCAAGCTAAGTCATTTGTGATCTGCTAACCCCCATGTTTCCTAGAGACTAGTAATCCATGGGAAGCCCAATGTTGTCCTTAAACAATCCTTTTCACTTTGTTGCCAATAACTACAAGAAGAAATTCATCAGTTTCTGTCACAACCTAGTGTATACACACGTACTTAGAAATTGTGTAAGTAAAATAGGTAAATATTTCTCACAAAATTATCTTTGCTATGTTCAGTATATTTGAATAGTGTTTCTTCTAGTTAATTGAAAAAGGTTCCATTGCAAGCCAGTGAATTAATTTTACAACCGATTTAAGAGTGTTTTAACTCATACTTTGAGGAAAATTACCCAAGCACACACACCACTTCCTTTCCACATACACTTTGGGCTTTAGCTAGTTTTCTACTGCTGCTTCCAGATTTTCACTCTTCTATCCTTTGAAGGAGTATCACCTCTACTCTTCTTGATAACTATTACCTAGTTACCTCATTTCCTCACATTTAAATAGTTTCTCTGTTCAAACTAATGCTATCATTCTAACATCATTCTCAAAGTCTGGTGGCCAGTCATTTATATAGTCAAATTTTGAGCCTTTTAATCACTTGAAATTAAAGAGACTCTGAAATTTTCAACTTGCGTTTTCCATTCTCTGATGACAGTCTTTATCTTTATAATGCTCCTTTATTTATACTTCATGTACTTCCTTTTTTAGGTCAGTGAATCAGTCTTCCTTTCCTCAGCAATATTCTCCCAAGAGTTTCTATCCCTTATGGTTTCATTTCTCTTCCTTTTTCATTCTAGACCTGCAACCAGACCTTAATTCATTTACTAACCCAGCTGGGTTATTCCAGCTCTCCTTTTTATTTACATGTACATTGGGGCTTGAGAAAGCTGATAAAGATGGGCGCTCCTTAGTGGTGCCGTGAGTTAGACAACAGCACTGGGGAGTTATCCAAAGTTACCACAGCGCGAATTCCATCCCCCAGCCAGGGCGCTGACCCACATGGCATGGCAGACCTCCTGACCTGCCCACTGCTCCTCTCAACAGTGAATTTCAGTCAATCTGCCTGTTCTGTCCCCACTCTGCCTCTGGTGACTCTTCTCACCTATGCTACACACACCTCTGACATGTACCCCAGTTCTTGTGTGCATAGTAAATAAATCTAAAAAAAAAGAAAGCCAATAGAGGTAATTTCAAGTTGTTACAATTTAAGATTCAGATATCTCAGTTAAGCCTTCAGTTCTACGTGGCAGCCCTGTCATATGTGTCTGATCAGATTTATAAGCTTATTACCCATAACAGTTTTTTTAGATTTGTACTGCTTTCCTTAACTTTTAACCCATTTTGTGAGTACTTCATAGAAAAATTAGAAGTCATCTAATTTTTTATAGAAAAATTAGAAGTCATCTATAGGCTTATATAAACAGTTCTACTTTTGAGTCTGTTACTGTCACTTTCCCTCTAAATTCTGAGAACAAGTTTTCCTTTATTATATAAGGTAAATCTTTTTAAGTTTTTATTTAAAACTTGTATCTTTCCTTAGCCTTTACTTTTCAAGCAAACTTGAAATAATGTTCTTCGGAATCTATTTGGAAGGGAACCACATTCCCTTCCTATCATTGTTCAAGAGTAAGTATCTTTCTCCATCTTTCACCTTCCTCTATACCATCTCCAACATACACATTTATCTATTATAATTTTGTTAGATGTTTTAGAATAGAGTTCTTTGATAGGAATTTCACCTATCTTTAGTCTCAGTACTTGGTACTGTGATACTAAACACAGTATGAAGTAAATTAATAATGAATGAGTGAAGTTGCAATAATAAGATAGCTTAATAAAAAAAAAGCAAGATATATTGTACATATTTCAGTGTATTTTCATTAATGTTAATTATGTGGACATTATGAAATATTCAGGTGGGTTTTTTTCCAAATGAATTTTCAGGAGGTTAACATTTTTTTAAAATATCTATCTATTTGACAGAATCATTCCGTGCACCCACATTTTCATATGGACCTGATGGAAATGGTTTCTCTCTTGGATACAGTAAAAACTGGCGACAAGTTTTTGGCGATGAAAAGAAATATTGGCTACTTCCAATATACTCAAGGTAATTTTAAATGTAGGGCTCCGACTCTCCTGCACTGCTGGTGGGAATGCAAACTAGTACAACCACTATGGAAAACTGTTTGGAGGTTCCTCAAACTGCTAAACATGGAGCTTCCCTACGACCCAGCAATCCCACTCCTAGGTATCTACCCAAAAGACACAAAAACACTGATTGAAAAAGATACTTGTACCCCCATGTTTATTGCTGCTTTATTTACAATTGGAAAAACATGGAAGCAGCCCAAATGCCCAAAAGTAGATGACTGGATAAAAAAGATGTGGTACATATACACAATGGAATATTACTCAGCAGCCAAAAAAGAGAAACACATGTCTTTTGCAGCAACTTGGATGGAGCTGGAAAAGATCATGCTTAGTGAGATAAGCCAGAAAGAGAAAGAAAAATACCGGATGGTTTCACTCATAGCAGGAGTATAATGGACCAGGCGAGAAAATAACAAAAATAATGAACAACCATATACCAGAGACATTTTGTGGGGGTGGAGTGGGGAATGAGATCAAAAATGGGGGGGGGGGAAGTGCACGGGACTATGGTGGTGGCACACGGGTGATTTGGTGATGGGAAGCCCGTGGGGATTACAATCGAGATGGAAAAAAAAAAATGTGCAAAATGATGTAAAAATAAACTTTTGGAAAAAGAAAAAAAAAATGTAGGGCTCCGAAATTATGGGCTAATAGTCTCCCTGGTTAAATGTCTTAAGATTCAAAGAATACAATATATAATAGCATTATTAATAAACCTTGAGAATGAAAACAGAAAATCTTGATTCATAAATAGATTTTATTTTTCATGAATTTTATTAGGGTAATGGAGAGTATATACTTTCCATATATCTGAATGGAAAGTATGAAAAAAGATGACGTAGGGGAAAGAAGTCATGTTTTCCCCTTCGAGATGAAAATAAGTTGCTTGAAGTAAAGAACCATAAGAATTTATTTGCTTTATTTTCAAAGATTCCATCACAGATTCTTTGTTTTGGTATGGCAAACAGAGGACAGAATGAGGGTCACCCCAGGATCCTGAAACTTGCACACTCAAAATGGGTTCTCTTTAGTGCAAAAGAACTTTAATAGGATAGTGAGCACAGAAAGAAGGTTTTTCAATAAAACATTCAAAGTTACCATACCCTTGTGGTTAAATGTCCTGCCAAACAAAGCTGGCCCAAAGCAGGGCTGAGGCCCAAGATCTTGGCATATTTAAGGCACCTTCTGGCAAGGAACCTAGGCAAGGGGCAGAAGGAGCCAGGCCGGTCTGGGCTGAAAGCAGCAGAATCAGCAAAAATCAAGGGTAACAGCTTTTATTTCACCTTCCCCATGGTCTCACAAAGATCTTAGAAGAGTCTCTACATGTCTTGACAACACATATGTTCTTCTGTGTCCCCAAGCCCCTGGTGTAAGTCCCAAGTTGAGAAGCAAGTGTGACTTCTTCATGTCTGTGGTCTAATACCTCCTCCAAGTCTCCTCACTGCTAAGCTCCACCCCTCAGTAGGTAGGACAGGGAACATGGAACCTCCCTTTTTTATTAGAACTCCACTCTATAACAAAATCAGAAGACCCACACATAAAACAATTTCAACCTTAAGTCTGAGTGAGAATATATGTCCAGGTGATTCACAGTTTCTTTTTCTTCCAATTTCTCAGTGATCCTAGGTCATAAATTCCAAAGTCAGCATGCAAAAGGAAAAATGTACTTGAAATTCAAATAGTATGTTTCTAAGTGTTCTAGGTTTGTTTCTTAATTTACTATGGTGTTTGCTTTTTAATCAGAAAATTACTTATTTTGCCTTCACTTTTGAATATTTTTGCTTGCTATGTAGAATTCAAAATTTTGTTTCACTGTCATTTTTTTCCTGATAAGTTTCTAGTCATTCTTATCTTTTCACTTTATGAGCAATCTCTTTTTCCTTCTTTGTTTATTGCTAGCTTATGTAATTTGATTATGATAAGCCTTTTTACAATTTTCATGATGTTTCTTAGGCTTTGGATTGGTTGAGCTTGGATCTGTGACTGTGTAGCTTACATCAAATTTGGAAAATATTTCAACCATTATTTCTTTTATGATTCCCCTCCCCTGTTTACTATAGGGGAGTGATGTAGATATTAATCTACTCAAAGTTCTTCTGTGAGTATACTGATACTCATAGAAGCATAATGATGCAGTGTACTTTTTTGTTCAGTCCTTTTTTCTGTGTTTCATCTGGGTTGATTCTAATATTCTTAATATCTTCAGTTTGCTAGTCTCTTTGTACTTTTCCCTTCTTACATGTGACAAGGTTTTTCTACTCTGGCTGGAACGTGGTCTGTTTTCTCTAAACAGAATTCATTGTATTAAGGTTTTAAAGATGTTGTTCCATTAGCTTATGATTTAGACTGTGACAAGAAATCAACCGCAGTCTTATCTACACCACTACTTATAAACTACTATCCTTTTTTCCCCTCCCCTCTGGCAACTTTTAAGGTTGTATCTTTATCACTGCTTTTAAACAGTTTGATGATGAGATTCCTTATTATGATTTTATTTATTCTCTCTCAGTTTCATTAAGCTTCTTGAATATATGACTTCATAGTTTTAATTAAATTTGAAATTTTTCTATCAATTATAACTTTGTTGCTTTTTTTTGCTTATTCCCCCTTGCCCCATCCCTTCCCCCACCCCACATCCACACCCCCAGTAGCTTTGTGGTTCTCTTGGATATACATGTATGTTAAAATACTTGATAATAACTCACAAGTCACTGCTGTCCCATGCCTTCCTTGTTTTCCTCCCTCCCCCCATCTGTCTCTCTTTACTTTAGTTTGGGTAGTTTCTATTGTGAAAGCAATTTCACTTATCTCTTTTCTTTAATGTCTGATCTATTAAACTTAATCTATTAAATTTGTATTTCAGATATTGCATTTTTCAGTTCTAAAAGATAAATTGTTTTTTTAATTTTACATTTCACTTTTTAATTTTTAATTTTTGAATTTCATATTAAGACCTCTATTTTAAAGCCCTTGCTTTAAATTTTCACAGTCATTCCAATTTCATTCCTATTGACTTTTTTTTTTTCTTTTTAGTTGTGACTTTTTCCTGTTAGCAATTTTTTTTTATTGGATGGTGGACTTTTTAAAATGCGAGTATTTAGATATTACCGTTTCTCTTTGTTTGAAGAATGTTGTATTTTGTTTTAGCAGACAGGTTGCTTGTTTTAGCTTGGTCTTTTGAGGTTTGTTGTAAGCTATGTTAGCTTTAAAAAAAATGTAATATTTTCTTTAGGGAAAGTTTAGCTTTATAACAAAGATTGGAGCCTGCTGGGGTCTCCATCAGTGTTCAGCAAATTCATTTCACTCTGACTGGTAGAATCGAATGCCTCTTTGGTGCTCTATGAGCTCTGTAAATTGTTTAACTTGCACTCTCCTGTTGTGCTTATCCAAGATTCGTATGCGTAATCACTATCAAAAGACTCAAAACCCTGTGTAGGTTTCTGTAGCACTTTATCTGTATATCACTCCTTTTCTTCAGTGCCCTGTAATAGATCAGGCCACTTCAACTTCTCTAAACTCCTGTCTCTCATCTCAGTTCAGTGAGACCACCTGGCTCTGCTTGTTCTTGCCACTCTCAGACCCTGGCAGACTGTTGGTACTCACTTGCTTAGTTTCTCTTTTTTCAGTGACAAGTTTTATGCTGCCTGCTTTGAAATAGTTTTCTTAACACACTCCTCAATTTTCCTGGTTGTTCTACAAGTCAGATTTACCAGTTTATCCATCTTGCCTGGAAGTGAAAGACACTATCTATTGTACATAATTTTGATATTTTTAGAATATAGACGTAAAGTATAACTATGCTTTTTTTCAGAAAATCTCTTCTCTTCTTCCTTAACACTTAAAATAGTACACCCAATATCATAGCCATTCAGTAAGTAGTTTATTGAATATTGTTGGATGAATACATATGTGGGATTTACATATTGGATTTCTGTATGGTGTCTTAAATGATTGTGAATAGATCAGTTACTAACATTATTTGAATATCTGTTTTAGTCATACCTTAACTAGGATCATGATTTTTTTTTTAATTATCTGCAGTTCTACATTTTATTGCACAAAATTTACAGTCTTAAAAAAAATACTTAACCCTTTTAATCAGTATTTTTTTTAATAATAGTTTATTTTTACATCATTTTGTGCCTTTTTCCATCTCAGTTGTAATCCCCGTGGGCTTCCCATCACCAAATCACCAAAGTGCCATCACCATAGTCCAGTGCATTTCCCTCCCTCCACCATTTTTTATCCTTTCCCCACTTCACTCCTGTAAAATGTCTCTGGTATATATTTGTTCATTATTATTATTACTTTCTTGCCTGGTCCTTTATACTCCTGCTATGAGTGAAACCATTGGTATTTTTCCTTTTCTTTCTGGCTTATCTCACTAAGCATGATCTTTTCCAGCTCCATCCATGTTGCTGCAAAAGGCATGTGTTTATTTTTTTTTAGTTGCTGAGTAATATTCCATTGTGTATATGTACCACATCTTTTTAATTCAGTCATCTACTTTTGGGCATTTGGATTGTTTCCATGTCTTTCCAGTTGTAAATAAAGCAGCAGTAAACATGGGGGTGCTGGTATCTTTTTGAATCAGTGTTTTTGTGTCTTTTGGGTAGATACTTAGGCGTGGGATTGCTGGGTCATATGGAAGCTCCATTTTTAGGGATCATGATTTTAAGTCATGAAAGACATCATTTTTAAATATTAATATATACAAATTACTAAAGAAAGACACTTACTACCTCTAACTTAGAAATATTAGTAATCATCCTCTGAAATTACAAGTTATGATAATTTCCTTATGTCGTGTCTTTGAATAATGGGTGTTAAAGTTGCCCTCTCTGACTTAACTTGACATGATTTAAATTACTACTGGTATTTTTCATCATATAGCTTGGGTGATGGTTGCAGTTTTCCAACTCGTCTTGTGGGGATGGATCCAGAACAGGCTTCAGCTACAAACCAGAGTGAACATGCCAGAAGGTATGCTTTTTGTCATTAGATTTTTGGTATCACTATAAAGCAAACCATATTATATGTATATGTATGTGTCTTACATGTACATAGCTTATAGATAAATACAGTGGTAATTTAGTAAGCCAGCACAAATAGGAAAAGGAAATTTTATTTAAATTTTTTCACTTGAGGGAGGGTTTATGTGTTTTATACTAGAGTGCTTAAAATAACCTTTTTTTTTTTTTTAAGATTTATTATTAGTGCATACAGAACTGGGGTACAGGCCAGAGGCTCAGGGGCGGTGAGAGGCTTCACCAGAGACAGAGTGGGGAGCAGAACTGGCAGTTTGACGAAGTACACTACTGAGGGGAGCAGCGGGCGGGTCAGGAGAGGTCTGCCGCTCCATGTGGTCCCTTCCGGGGCAGGCGGGAATCAAACTCATGCGGAAGTGGCTCAAGCTTCTCAGTGCTGTGCTTTAACCCGCTGCACCACCAGGGAGGGCCCAAGAACTATATTTTTTATCACCTAAGCCAGAACACTTGAGAGTACGGAAGAGAAAGCTTACCACTAATAGGTAATCACATTTAACTGAAAATGTCTGGACAAACTAGGAAGGATCCCTACCCTAAATATGCTGTGTCTTCCTACAAACTAAACATCCTCTTAATATTAGTGATTATTTTGACTTTTATCAGTTATATTTTTCAACTAAGTTAGTCATAACTAACCATTTTGTTTTGATAAACAGATTTTAACTATACTGTGAAAATATTAGTGAAGTTTCAAATATATTAATATAAATTTTTTTTCTCATTTGTCACAGAGGACATTTTCTCAGTATTTGCAGGCATGACAAGCCAAATTGATTCATAAATTCCAAGGAATAATTTATGTTAAATGAAATTTTATAGAAGATAGAGACGTTTTTGTTAAAGTGGAACAGTTGAAACTTACTAAGAAATAAGTTGTAGCAGGAGGCAGATTATAAATTCCAACTTAGCATTTTAGCATCTGAAGAATCTATATGACATTCTAGCACTAACATTTTTGTGGGTCTGAACAAGCCACTTAAACCACCTGAATACCAGCTTCCAGCTCCATAAAATGAGAACTCTCACACCTACCTCTCGGGGTTATTGTGCGGGTTGAGATAATGTGTGCTAAGTGCCTGGCACAGTGGTAACTGGCCCATAGGTACACAAGTATTAGTTCCCTTTTCTTCCTTTCTTTCCTCTATTCCCTCCTTCCCTGGATCTCTCAGCTAGAAAAAATAAGTCTACGCTAAATCACTAAATCATTTTTTCCCCTTAGATCTAAACTGCAGAGGTAGAAAGCAGAAAACTTGGGAAATGACAGGTAATTTTTCTGTCCTGGCCACAGACATAGATCCTCACCTGTCTTTGTGCTAAATATGGCTCTCAATTAACATGTTAAAAGCATTTCAGATTGGCCTCTGAAGCATTTTTCTTTTGCCTAATTGTTTTCACTGACAGTGTTATACAGATTCTTGGGTTTAGAGAGCTTTCAAATTTTTAATGGGGAGGGTATGGCGGGGCATATTTTTCTTTTGAAGATAGTGATTTTTTTTTCATAGTGCTGAGATCTCATGAGTTGCCCTCACATATTTAGGAAAAGGAATACTAATTTGCTGCTTATTAATTAAATATTCTTAATTAAGCATTAAGCTGTATACTAAATTATTTGTTCCTTTTTTCAGTATTGGCCCAAATCAACCCTTTCCTATCAAACCACTTAGTGAATCAAAAAACCGACTATTGGACAATGAATCTCAATGGATAGAGAATGGATCTGAAGAAGGCATTGTCAGATCAGGTAATTCTTAGCATATGAAACATTGATTCATCCTGTTAAAATTATGATCACCACATTTAATAAATGTGAAAAAAATTAAAATAGTGTGATACATATATATCGATATATATAGATATAGATGAGGTGTTAAATACCTTTTTAAAAATACCTTGTACCTTTTGCTGCTTCAGTTTAGAAAGAGGGCTCTGTGGATATATTCTCAACCTTTCTTGTTGACTCTTATCATTCAGTGAATTATGGATGCATTATAGAACAGGTGATAAGATAGAAATGGTTTTTAAACCATACCTAGGGTGGCCCTTCCTAGCATTCTAACCTGAAATACATCTGTGGTCATTCTTCATAATATTACTGATAACTGTCTTTATCTTCTTGCACTATAAACAGAAAGTTTAGATATCCAGATTAATCTGTACTAATCCTAGGAAATATCCTGAACGTTAGAAACTACCTGTCAGAATTTCTGGCTTTTTTCTTCTAGCAGCTTTAAAATTATTCTTTTAGCAGTTTTAAAACTATTTTTTCATATGAGTTGCTTTTATTGCTGTCATTGATTTTACTTCACCAGAAAAGTAATACTTCCCTTTTCTTTATCATGTCATATATAATTGTGTGCTTACAGGGACAAATAACCATGTTACAGTGGCAATAGAAAATTGAGTACCCACTTGTTCATAAGTAACCATTTGAATAAGACCAAGGTAAGACAGTGTGAAGGTAATTTCCTTGAACAAATGCAGTTTATTTGCATATTTCTTAATCTCCAAACAATTCTATTTGTTTTCTTACTTTTTTCAATTATATCAGCAAAATTAGATAGTCCTTGAGAAACTGGAAAATAACAAGTGCCTAAGTCCCATATTTCTTAACATTCCAGACACAATTTTAGTAAATATTTATATGTATATTAATGAAGAACTCGGTAAGTTGTTTAGGATTAGTATGTGAACAACTGACCTTTTTAGTAAAGTGTACTGTATTAATTAAAACTGCCCACTATTTAAAAAAAACATGATCAAGAGTGTTAAAGCCTGAAATAAAGAAGTTACTGAATTTAGCCAAGTACATTGATAAACTACTTTATCTGTGTGCTCAGACACAAAAGTCAGAAGTTGTTTATTTAAATAGCAATAGAGAACATACCAGTCAGATAAATATAAACAATAGTATAGTGAAGGTACTCTTTTGCTGAAGTTGAACTAGACAGATATCAACTTCTCATATGCTTCAAAAACACAGATCCGCTATCTAAATGTAATCTTAAGTTCAGTAACACCTTATACAACTATTAGATTTTTTGATAGCCTGCTTATAGTACATATGGGTTACTTATTGCTAATTAACACACTAACACAAATTTAACAGCTTAAAAAATACACATTTATTAGCTCAGTCTCTCTGTATCTGGAGTTCATTTTTTCCAAAGGGCTCTTATTTGAGTGTCAGCTTAAAACCTAGGGACCATCTGCTGCCTTGCCCAGTGTTTATCCTTAGCATTCTGATCTATGTAGTTGACATCCAGAATTACTGCCAGAACCTAGAACAAGGCAGAATCAAATCAGAGGCATCTTGGGTGGGGCTCAGCCCTCAGAGCAAATGGGCTGGGTCTGAAGAGAAACTGCATGTGGTAATCATGTACACAATTAGTGCTGCTGAAAACTGGTGTAGCAGCCAGTCTTCAGTTAGCGGTCCTTGGTCATGGGTCTACATTTCTTCTTAGCATGAGCAGAATGATAGCTTATGCTCTGATTATTGAGAAACTAAGTTCCTGTGACTCTTGGCTGTGGGTACTTGCCCACAGTGGATATAGGGCTTAGAAAGGTATGGGCAAGATGTCTATGCACATTATGTCAAAGATAACAGTAAGTGAGAACTGTTGGAATCTGCTTTTCTTGAGATAGTGTTCTCTGAGTTGCTTCAGGGGAGGAAAGTCAATAATACCCTGTATTTAGTACTTATAAATCTTTATTGTTATAATTTTAGTTGCATGATTTATTTTCTGTCTTGTATTAACAGCTCTATATCTTAACCCACAGGACTAATTAATAATTCTTATTTTCAGAAATAGAAAGTCAAGTTTTAACCAATAATTCAATTTTTTCTGTTTTTATAGGTATATGAAAGCATTACAGACTGGTATTTTCAGTTTTATTTGCAAGAAAATAATCAATGGAATTAAAGTGAAGTATAACAGAAGATAAATATAGATATATATGTAGATATAGAGAGAGAGGTATTTTTTTTTTTAAATGAAAGCCTTTGTAGAGATTGCTGGATCCACAGAGTACTACTCCAGAGCAGGGAGATGCCTTAATCTTAATGCCCATTCACGCAACATTGACTTAGAGCTACAAAATGACTTCATTTTACTTTGTAAACAACACAATATAAAATGCTATAGTATGAGCTATCAAATCATATGTTAACATGGCACACTTTTTTTTGATACCTGAGTTACTTTATTAGAGTTGTTTCTTAGTACCCATATAAATTTTCTCTAGAAACGCAAGGTAGAAATTTGTTTTCTAGAGCAGTATGGTAGCTGAAAGTGATTAATAATATCCAAGCGACTGTTGTTAGTACTATGTAAAAAAAAAGAAAAAGAAAATAATTGCTTTTTTAAAAATTGGATGTTTATTCATTTATAATTACCTTTTTATACTTTATAACATTTTTAATAAAGATTTTTTATTGGCTATAAAATAACACTCAGAAGGATTCAGATATATTTAAATATAACATTTTAAAACAAGGAGCCATTTGTATAATTCATTGAAGGCTTAGTTATAAGCATTAATAACAACCATGCAGTGTAGTATTGTGCCAATCTTAGCTAGTATAAAAAATATTTTTGGTTCTCTGCTTTATTCAATTACTTTTTTATTCAACTTGTATGGGTATTTATATGAGCAGAGAAACACAGAAGCTACATGTGCTCTTAGACTCAGTAGGAGTAGGTGGAAGTGTCTAGGAAAGTAAAAAAAACCAGAAAGGCAGACTAAACAAAAATATTTTCAGTCCTAAGGTATTTAGAATACAACTTACTTATTATGTTATCTTTCATATTTAGGTAATGTTTAAAAATCACCTTGAAACTTTTTACGGTAACTTTTTATCTTACACTAAAAGGAAATTTGAAGTAGAGTATGACTACTTAGCATAACACTGCTCCTAGGAAAGAAATTCGGGGTAGTCACTTAAAATTTCCCATTGCTGAGAAATGGGTTGTAATCTTAATGTTGAGTTTAAAATCTAATTTGTAACAGCAGCCCCTTTCTAACTTAAACACATACCTCCTTTTACTTTTTGAAACCCAGTCTGGGTGAGGGGAATTGTTGTATTAACTATAAAGAAAAATACTGTACACTATGCAGGAGAAATATAGAAATATTACTCCTTGTTTATACTCTTTAGTCAAATTTATACACAAATCAAAATGATTGATTCCTTCCATTAGTTGATAGAGATTAATCTTAACTATTAAGCACCTACATGTATCAACAGTTATAGTTTCCCGGTCTGTAAATGGGATTAGGAAGAAGGGGTTGTTAAGAATGAGTTGGACAGAATGACTGCTGACATTCTTCAATTCCAAATTTTGAAAAATAATCTTTTTCATTCATCCAAACAAATATTTTTGGAATGCATTCTATGCACCAAACCATTATCCTAAAGATAGCTCTATAATTTTCTACTGTAATATAAACTTTATAGTCAGCTATTCCAAGTTTATAATTTATAGGATTTGGCTAATATTAAATTTCCACTGGATAACATTAAATTTTAAAAGGAAGTAATATTTTCCCCCTTTGAACCAAAGGAATAAGTTAATATAGTTTGAAATACTATATTGTAGTATTGAAAATATAGCTTGGAATGCTACATTATGCATTAATCTACCTTTATGTCAGCTATATCTTGATTCTAAAAAATTTTTCAGTAATAGAATTACATTTCCAACCAAATGTAACACTTCAGTTTGGCAGTCTGCATATTATAAAGAAACAGTAATTGTCTGAACTTACTTGACCACTTTCAGAAATGCTTTCTATCCTTTTTGTGAATACTTGTACATTTAGATTGAAGATTTGCATGTACCTCATTAACAGCTGAAGGAAACATAATCTCCCCCTTAACCTGTTCAAGCACTTTTGTGGTAATCTTTCTCAGATATTTTAATTTTTATTATTTAACATTATCTTGATTAACATAGTAAATATGTTTTTTCAGAAACATTCAGTTTATAGACTTTTACTTAAGACACATCAGTGGACCTCCACAGGACCACAAGGGCCTTTGTAGGAACTGGAAAAAGCTTCCTCCTCTGAGTGGGTAGCGCCTACTTAGGTTTCATTTATGGCCATCATTTTGCCGCTTTCTAAATATTGGGCTGATTTTATTTATTCATATTAGTGACCATTCATCACTATACAAAGGCCTATACGTGGTAGGGGAATCAGAAAAAGGCTGCCTCTTTGGAATTTCAAGGATATTAGTGATGTCAACAATTTGGGGGGGAAAAAGGTAAAAATGAAGCTCTGTCAAGATTTATTGGTAGTACTATCGTTCATTCTTCAAAATTTGTATGGTGATATGCATGGAAAATGTAGTTGAATTTCAGGTCTTGCCTTTGCTGTTAAAAACAAATTAGACAGGAAATTTGTTTTAAGTAGGTACAAATTTGCTTGAACATTCAGAATCTATGACCAGTGTCATTATGCCAAACCAAAGAGCAGCTGTAGTATGTAGTTAGTAAACATGAACACGTTTACAAGATTTAGTTTCACCATTTCTGTGGATGATTTTTTTTTTAAATATTTTTACATATTTTGTGGTTAGAGTCAAATGTTTCATAACTTGTAAGGTTAAATCAAATATGCAATGTTTACTTGAATTTTTTTTTTAGGAAGCAGAGTTTTGACTATGTTTACATGATTGTTTAAATTAAACATTCTCAAACATGTGAAATTTCCATTTAGTAATCTTCAAAGCAAATGTATTTTTAGGCTCAGTGTTAGGATCTGCATATTTGGGGCACTGAGTAAGCAGTGACCACAAATACTTTTTACTTATATTTTGTCCTTGGACTAGCACTATTATCATTGGAAGGTATTAGAAACTAATCTATTACTAAGAAATCACTCATATTTTTGCACTTCAGCCAAAATAAGACCATATCTAATAGGGACATGACCCATGTGTTTCATATGACCATATTTTCCAGTTTGAATTCAAAATGCAATATAGATTCAGAAAGGTTCATATTTTTCTAATCACTTTATATTTTTTGTTGGGTTGCATAAAAAAGCAAAAGGAGTTGTATTTGTATTAAAAGATTAAGAAAGCTATTAAGTGTATTATATTTGTACATGCTGCAGATGAGGCTATGCCTGTTTAAACAAAAAGATTGATGCTATTTTAAAGTGATCTTTAATATGTTTTTATATAAACAAATTTGAAATACAGTTTTCTTTGATTGTCTTTACTTATCAAGCTCTATAATCTTGTATTTGTTTCTCATAAGTATAATCTTGGACCATGACTTACTGTTAATTCTGCATTGTCTTTTTGGTGGCTTAACCTACATTAACATGAAGGCTGAATATTTTTAAACTTTAATCATAATGATTTACTTTATTAATAAATAAAAATAAAGTTCTATATTTGCACCAGTTTTTGTTGTTGTTGTTAAAAAGTGGTACTTGCCAAGTGACAGAATATTATTTTCATCACCTTGAAAATCTGATAGTAAAGTTAGAGAAAGACATCTGGCTAATAGTTTATGGTAAGTAACCACATCTAAAATAAGTATTATTGTTACAGGGCAACCCCAGTATGAAATGGGTTGGCCTGAGTCTATGGGTCCTCACCCCTGTGCTTAAAAAGGACTTATAATGAGATTCAACTGCAGGTGCACAGAAAAAAGGTTAATAAAGGGTTTATTTACAAAAAGGGGGAACAAAGAGAAGAACAACTCAGAGAGTTGTCCTACCAGTTTTGCTGAGCTGGTGTTATAGAACAGGGATGGAGTACACCAGAAACCTCAAACCTGCCTGCTCTAAATAGGTTCTGCCATCCACCACATCAAGACAAAACATACAAGACCTTTAATGGAAAAGAACTTTAAAACAATTAATTTGCAATACAGAAAATACAAAGAATATCATTTCCAAATCAAGCACCCGAAGTTACCCAAACCCTCATGGATAAATATCCAGCCAAACAGGCCCAATCAAGGCCCAAAAGCCTGCCACAAGTCTAAAAGCACCTTCTGCTGAGGACCCATAGAGAAGGGTCAGAAACAACCAGACAGATCTGGGAGAAAAAGTAAAGTCAAGATAAAATCTGCCATTGTTAATTTCCCTACAGATCTTTAACCCACATCTCTTTCACCCAGTCCAGGACCAAGAAGCAAGCGCAGTTTCTCACATGTCTCCTCTGCTCTATGTGCCTCCCTCAGGTCTCTTCCTTGCTCCCCATCCTCCTTCCTTCCTTCCTTCTCCACTATCCTCTCTGGCTTCTCTCCTCCCTGCTCAACTCTATCCACTTTTGGGTGGGACAGGGAACCTGGAACCACCCCTTTTCCTTGGACCTACCCTGATACACTGCAACCCCAGTAGCGCCTGAAAACCAACCACCCCTAAGGCCCACATGTCTCTGGTTATATACTAATCCTGTCAGCTTAATTCCACCCTTAGTTCCCAGCAATCCTCCCTTCCGTGGTTATGACATGGGATTTGCTGTTCTTAATGCTTTGGATCTCTTGGGTAGGGGTAGGGTCCAAGAAACCTGAGTTTATGGAGTTGGTTCAGGACATCCTCTCTCCCCAACATTATCAGTATAACAAAATTATAATTTACCTAGCTGACAGTAATAGATTGATTTATTTCAAAAGGTTTAACTTTCACTGAACGTAACTTTCAATTCAGAAGTCACTTCAGAATTGTTAATATCTTCAAATCATTGTAAATATCATTAACTTGTGGTTGGCAAGTTGCGAATAACAAATTTTACCTTACATAGAACTATTTAATGGCATTTATGTTCTAGTTCCCTTCCAAAGGGACTTTTTTTTAATAGTTGAGCCTGCTGAATAAAATAGAGCTATGCCACCCAGTTTCCAGACCAGTAAAATTTCAGTATATTTTCCCAAACCAATAGAGGTAAGACATGAAGCAACCTTTATTTTGCTAATCCAGAACACTAGGGTTTATAAGGGAAGATAAATTACCAAATGGCTAGAAGGCCATTTTGACACTCAGATGGTGTCAATGGTGTCATATTGGCCTTTTCTCATTTCTCAAAATAAGCTTTGTTTCACTCTTCTAGAAAAGTTGTATAATATTGGCCTCTTTTAACCTACCTCATTCTTTCATGTGCCCCAGGTACTAGAGGGATGTAAACTTAGATCTTTAGTTTCTTTTCTGTAAAGAGTTCTTTATGGGTATTTTTAACAACCACGTGAAATTAATTTCACTTGTCTTCAATCCCTCCATATCAAAACCTTCCAGTGATAAAGGATTTAAGTACTGCATTCACTGCTTAGCTCATTGAATGCTGTTCTTCAATCAAGAATGTCTTCTCCCTGTCCATTCTCCATGTAAGGCGATTCTTCTCATCCAGGATTTCCAACTCCAGTAGCATTCTCTCATCTCACTTCCCCATGGCCTGCAAATGAAGTTAACCTCTCTGTGCTTTCTGGAATACTGTATGTCTTTTGTGATTTCATTTAGCCTAATACTAGATAACTCAATAGATTGATAACTCTGTGTGTTCCTTACCTACCTATAAAATGAGGCCTGAAGTTCCAGAGAACTGCAGTAATGAATTCATATACTTTAGATTTGGTTCTCTGTTTTCAAAGGAAAATGAGCATCATAGTCTATAAAATTCTCCCAAAGTTGGAAGATACTGGTCAAACACTCATTTTAGTGGAAATAGAAATTTATAGTGGAGTATCTTTGACAACAATTTGGCAATACAAAGCTTTCTTAAGGAGTTCTATATTTAGGAATTTTGTAGATTTACTTGTGCACTATGCGGTATGTATGTCAATATAGATTTTTTAAAAGACTTATTTATGCTTACAAGAACTGGGGTGTAGGCAGAGGTGCAAGGGTAAGAGGATTCACCAGAGACAGTGGGGAGCAGAAATGGCAGACTGAAGTGCACTGCTGAGGGGAGCATATGGCGAGACAGGAATGGTCTGCTGTGCCATGTGAATTAGCTCCCTGGCCCAGGATCAAACTCATTCTGCAGTGGCTGTCCGTAGCTTGATAGTGTTGTGTCTTTAACCCCTGTGCACCAGGGCGGGCCCTATTTGTCAATAGAGATTTTTATGTGTATGTTCATTGCTGCATTGTTTGAATTAACAAAACTAGAAAAAACGTTAAGTTTCCCACCTACTGGTTAATAGGCAAAAGAATACATTAACGACCACACACTAATTTAATGGGGTTGCCTCCAGACAGGAAAAATGAGGGGTTCAGTGGTCACTTAGACATATAGATCATGGACCCATGTGCTAGCCATTTGAGGAACGTTTAATTCCATCTTTTACACCT